GGGGTGCCTTCCACTCCCTGCTTGGGTCTTTTCCTGGTTATTTCCTTTCTCTCTTCCTGCCTCTCTCTTATTTCCCTTACTTCCATTCTTACTTTTTCCTCTTTATAGAATCATAGAATAATAACATTGGAAGAGACCACATGGGCTATCTTGTCCAACCCCCTAACATTCAGGAAAAACACAATTAAAGCATCCCTGACAGATGGCCATCCAGCCTCTGTTTAAAAGTTTCCAAGGAGCTTCCACCACACTCCAGGCAGAGAGTTCCACTGCTGAACAGCTCGTACAGTCAGGAAGTTCTTCCTAATGTTCAGGTGGAATCTCCTTTCTTGTCACTTGAACCCATGGCTCTGAGTCCTAATTTCAAAAGCAGCAGAAAGAAAGCCTGCTCCCTCTTCCTTATGATACCCCATCACATATTTATATATGGCCCCCGGTGGCGCAATGAGTTAAACCCTTGTGCCAGCAGGACTGCTGACCGACAGGTCAGTGGTTCGAATCTGGGGAGAACGGGTTGATCTCCCTGTCAGCTCCAGCTCCCCATGCAGGGACATGAGAGGAGTATCCCACAAAGATGGTAAAACATCAAACATCTGGGCATCCCCTGGGCAGTATCCTTGCAGACGGCCAATTTTTTTTTCAGCAGAAGTGACTTGCAATTTCTCATGTAGCTACTGACATGAAAAGGTCTCCTCTCAGGCTTCTCTTCTACAGGCAAAACACATTCCTCATAGGGATTCACCATGACTTCCCTCGATCTAGACCATGCCTGGGCAAATTTGGGGCCCACAAGTGTTTTGGACTTCAATTCCCACAATTCCTAACAGTCTACTGGCTAGACTATTAATAGTTGGGAGCTATTGTTGACAGCAAGCTAGACAATTAATAGTTGGGAGCTAATAGTTGGGCCGGAGGTTTAGCACAGCTGGTAAGTCAGCAATTATAAGATCTATCAATCAAAAGGTTGCAAGTTCAAAGCCCTGGGTTGGCGTGAGCTGCCAACTGTCAACCTAGCTCATTGTTTACCTAAGTAATTCGAAAACAGCTTTAGCTGTGATTAGAGAAATTAAGTACGGCTAAATAGCGGGGGAGGTGTTTTACGACGCCATAAAGAAAAAAGATCAGAAAATGCTGGACGACCAAAAGGAAGGAGGAAGTCATAGAGGAAAGAGCAACAGCACCCCCTGGACTTGAACCCAACCTTCCATGGCACCTTCTTCTGTTCTGTCTGTGTATTGTCTATACCAGGGGTTCTCAAACTAAGGCCCAGGGGCAGATACGGCCCTCCAAGGTCATGTACCTGGCCCTCACTCAGGGTCAACCCAAGTCTGAAACGACTTGAAAGCACACAGCAACAACAACAATCCTATCTCATCAGCCAAAAGCAGGCCCACACTTCCCATTGAAATACTAATAAGTTTATATTTGTTAAAATTGTTCTTCATTTTAATTATTGTATTGTTTTAAGTGTTTTTTGCACTACAAATAAGATATGTGCAGTGTGCATAGGAATTCATTCATTTTTTTTCCAATTATAATCCGGCCCTCCAACAGTTTGAGGGACTGTGACCTGGCCCTCTGTTTAAAAAGTTTGAGGACCCCTGGTCTATACAAAGCGGCATTGAATGTTTGCCATGTATGTGTACTGTGATCCGCCTTGAGTCCCCTTCGAGGTGAGAAGAGCGGAATATAAATAAAGTGTTATTATTATTTCTACTACTACTCTGACCTGGGCTGGCTTTGAACTCGTGACCTCTCAGTCAGTAGCGATTTGAAGCAGCTGGCTAATATCTAGCTGCACTACAGCCTGGTCCTTTGTCCATGCCTGATCTAGACACTAGACACCAAATTGGGAGGTATAGCCAATACTCCAGAGGACAGGAGCAGGATTCAAAACGATCTTGACAGATTAGAGAGATGGGCCAAAACTAACAAAATGAAGTTCAACAGGGACAAATGCAAGATACTCCACTTAGGCAGAAAAATGAAATGCAAAGATACAGAATGGGGGACAATGCCTGGCTTGAGAGCAGTACGTGTGAAAAAGAACTTGGAATCCTCGTGGACAGCACGTTAAACATGAGCCAACAATGTGATGTGGCAGCAAAAAAGCCAATGGGATTTCGGTCTGCATCAATAGGAGCATAGTGTCTAGATCTAGGGAAGTCATGCTCCCCATGCTCTATTCCGCTTTGGTTAGACCACACCTGGAGTATTGTGTCCAATTCTGGGCACCACAATTCAAGAGAGATATTGACAAGCTGGAATGTGTCCAGAGGAGGGCGACTAAAATGATCAAGGGTCTGGAGAACAAGCCCTATGAGGAGCGGCTTAAGGGGCTGGGCATGTTTAGCCTGAAGAAGAGAAGGCTGAGAGGAGATATGATAGCCATGTATAAATTGTGAGAGGAAGCCACAGGGAGGAGGGAGCAAGCTTGTTTTCTGCTCCCTGGAGACTAGGACGTGGAACAATGGCTTCAAACTACAAGAGAGAGATTCCATCTGAACATGAGGAAGAACTTCCTGACTGTGAGAGCTGTTCAGCAGTGGAACTCTCTGCCCCGGAGTGTGGTGGAGGCTCCTTCTTTGGAAGCTTTTAAACAGAGGCTGGATGTCAGGGGTGATTTGAATGCAATATTCCTGCTTCTTGGCAGAATGGGGTTGGACTGGATGGCCCATGAGGTCTCTTCTAACTCTCTGATTCTATAACTCCTTTGACGCAGTCCAAAATCTCACTGTGTGTTTAAAGTGCTGCATCACACTATTGGCTCATGTTCAACTTGCGGTCCATGAAGACTTCTATGGCAAGCATCCTCTGGAGGATGCTTGCCATAGATGCAGGCGAAACGTCAGGAGAGAATGCCTCTAGAACATGGCCATATAGCCCGGAAAAACCTACAACAACCCAGTGATTTTGCAGGGACTGTTGTGAAGCCAAGCGTCACCCATTGTGCATGTCTTCCTGCCCACCCTTCTTCCTTCTCCCTCCCTTCCTTCAGTGGGGGCCCAGGAGGGGAGCCTGTGCGAGTCCTTCCGGGATCCCGAGGGCCGCCCCCACGCCGCCTTCTTCTGCCCGCGCCTCTCCGACCCCCCGGGACATGCCTTCTGTTGCCGGGGGACCCAGGATGTGGGGGCTCCTCTCCGCTTCCGCTCCTGCTGTGCACGCCCGGATCCCAAAGAGGAGGAGGAAGAGGAAGGGGCTGCCAACCGCTCAGGGAGGTTCTTCTTCCGGTGAGTGAGGAGGAGAGTCGGGGCTGCCTCTCCCTTTTATTATTATTATTATTAAACTTTATTTGTACCCCGCTAGCATCTCCCGAAGGACTCGATGCGGCTTACAAAGGCCAAGGCCTCAACACACAATACAACAATACAAAACCTAAGGCAAATTAAAAACAATTAAAGCAATCTAAACAACAAGCAATAAACAATACACTAACCGCATAGGGAAGCTGATGAGGAAACACAACGTACAAACAATCTACAAACCCACCAAGAAAATCCAACAAATGCTACGTTCAGCAAAGGACAAGAGGGATCCTCTCACCTCTGCAGGAGTCTACCGTATACCATGCAGCTGTGGACAAGTCTACATAGGGACCACCAAACGCAGCATTGCCCAAACACGAATCAAGGAACATGAAAGGCACTGCAGACTACTTCAACCAGAGAAGTCAGCCATAGCAGAGCACCTGATGAACCAACCTGGGCACAGCATATTATTTGAGAACACAGAAATGCTGGACCACTCCAACAACCACCATGTCAGACTACACAGAGAAGCCATTGAAATCCACAAGCATGTGGACAATTTCAACAGAAAGGAAGAGACCATGAAAATGAACAAAATCTGGCTACCAGTATTTAAAAACTCTAAAATTACAGCAGCAAAACAGCAGAGAGGAAACAACCAGGAACATCTTAACACCTCTCAACAAAAGATTTTCCCAGGCTCAGCCAGGCCTTCAAATGCTAATGAAGGTGGTCAGTTATTTATTTGTCGTGTCAGAGCAGCCACTCCATTATATTACACTTCTAACAGGACAAAGCAAACAAACAGAGAAATACACAACTTGTGAGTTTGGTAGCTGGTTAAATGTCCTTTGACCAGTATCTGGCCACTTGGAGTGCTTCCGGTGTTGCTGCAAGAAGGTCCTCCATTGTGCATGTGGCAGGGCTCAGGTTGCATTGCAGCAGGTGGTCAGTGGTTTGCTCTTCTCCACACTCGCATGTCGAGGATTCTACTTTGTAGCCCCATTTCTGAAGGTTGGCTCTGCATCTCGTGGTGCCAGAGTGCAGTCTGTTCAATGCCTTCCAAGTCGCCCAGTCTTCTGTGTGCCCAGGAGGGAGTCTCTCATTTGGTATCATCCATTGGTTGAGGTTCTGGGTTTGAGCCTGCCACTTTTGGACTCTCGCTTGCTGAGGTGTTCCAGCGAGTGTCTCTGTAGATCTTAGAAAACTATTTGATTTAAGTCGTTGGCATGATGCTAATGAAGGTGGTCAGTTGAAACATTCACACCTAGCTCCAGCAGGGAAGAGCTCTTTGCCCCACCCCAGCCATTCCACAGATATATAAACCCATTGTCCTATTTCCAACAGACCTCACTACCTCTGAGGATGCTTGCCATAGATGCAGGCGAAACGTCAGGAGAAATGCCTCTAGAACATGGCCCTATAGCCCGAAAAAACCCACAAGAACCTAGTGATTCCAGCCATGAAAGCCTTCGACAATACAATGGGTCCTCCCTTCTTCCGCTCCGCCTGACGGAGGCCTCTCCCTCCCTTTCTTCCTTAGCGGAAGGGCCCTCCCTGCTCCCCCAGCGCTGGCGGCGGGGCTCTACGGCGTCCTCCTCCTGGCGCTCATGGCCCTCGACGGGCTCCACTTCTGTCATACCCGACGCAACTTCCGCTTCCGCCTCCAAGCCCGCGCCAGACAACTTTTCTTCCGCATCCGCTGCTGCGCCCTACTCCAGACCGGAAGTGACGCGAGAGTGGAAGGCGACAAGGTAAGACATCAGGGCGGCCTACCCTGACGTCACCTGAGCGCGCCATGGCGGAGACAGTTGAGGCTTCCACTGCCTCTTCGGAGCTTCGCCGCGAAGGGAATGTGCTCTTCCAGGCCGGGCGCTTCGAGGAGGCCCTGGCCGTGTACACCCGCGCTCTCGGCCTCTGCGGCACGGAGGAACGCGCTGAGAAGGGCCTCCTACACCGGAACCGCTCCGCCTGCGCGCTCAAGCTGGTCAGGGCCCGAAATGGGGAGGGCGCAGAGTGGGGGAGACGGGGCCTTAAGCGGGGCCTGCCTCCTCACCCTCTCTCTCCCCCTTTCTCTCGCAGGAGGACTATGCCCAAGCCGAGCTGGATGCCTCCGAAGGTAAGGAGCCCAAGAGGCTGGCTGGCAGGGTGGGTCAATGGCTCTAGGATAATCTATATCAGTGTTTCTCAACCTGGGGGTCGGGACCCCTGAGGGGGTCGTGAGGGGGTGTCAAAGGGGTCGCCAAAGACCATCAGAAAACATAGTATTTTCTGTTGGTCATTGGGATTCTGTGTGGGAAGTTTGACCCAATTCTATTGTTGGTCGAGTTCAGAATGCTCTTTGATTGTAGGTGAACTATAAATCCCAACAACTACAACTCCCAGATGTCAAGGTCTATTTCCCCCAGACTCTACCAGTGTTCACATTTGGGCATATTGAGTATTCATGCTAAGTTTGGTCCAGATCCATCATTGCATGAATCCATAGTGCTCCTCTGGATATAGGTGAACTCCAACTCCCAAACTCAAGGTGAATGCCCACAAAACCCTTCCAGTGTCTTCTGATGGTCATGGGAGTTTTTTGTGCCAAGTTCGGTTTAAATCCATCGGTGGAGTTCAGAATGCTTTTTGATTATAGGTGAACTATAAATCCCAGCAACTACAACTCCCAAATTACAAAATTTGGTATTTGTGCTCAATTTAGTCCAGTGAATGAAAATATATCCTGCATATCGGATATTTACATTACGATTTATATCTGTATTAAAATGACAGGTATCAAGTAGCAACGAAAACAATATTATGGTTGGGGGTCACCACAACATAGGGGACTGCATTAAGGGGTCACGGCATTAGCAAGGTTGAGAACCACTGATCTATATCTATATAAATGCTCTGTGCATAAGGTGTACCTTAAAAGCAAAAGAACCAATGAACGAAATCACACCAAATTTGGCAACAAAACATCTCACAACACAAGGAGTGACTATCACTCAAAAATTATGATTTTGTCATTTGGGAGTTGTAGTTGCTGGGATTTATAGTTCACCTACAATCAAAGAGCATTCTGAACTCCACCAACGATGGAATTGAACCAAACTTGGCACACAGAACTCCCATGACCAACAGAAATACTGGAAGGGTTTGGTGGGCATTGACCTTGAGTTTTGGAGTTGTAGTTCACCTACATCCAGAGAGCACCGTGGATTCAAACAATGATGGATCTGGACCAAACTTGGCACAAGCACTCAATGTGCCCAAATATGAACAAGATGGAGTTTGGGGAAAATAGACCTTGACATTTGGGAGTTGTAGTCACTGGGATTCACAGTTCACCTACAATCAAAGAGTATTCTGAACCCCACGAACGACAGAATTGGGGCAAACTTCCCACACAAAACCCCCATGATCACAGAAAATACTTAAGGCCATCCAGTCCAACTCCCTTCACCAGGGGACGAAAACATAATCAAAACCCTCCTGACAAAGAACCATCCAGCCATAGATAATAAATACATAGATATGATTCACACACAGAGAGATATAGATTTGAAAGGGACCCCTAAAGAAAGACAATGATATGTTGCCTGTTTCAAAATAGGCAAACCAGACAGTCTCCACATCAACAGTGACAAAGAAACAGCAAGAAATTCTGTTTACCCACAAGCATAAAGAAATTACATATATTAGAAACCAACACTTTCTCATTACTTTATTTCCAGATCAACCGACTGGGCCACAGCAACGCGTGGCAGTGGACAGCTAGTAATAATAATAAAAAATTATTTGTACCCCGCTACCATCTCCCCAAGGGACACGGTGCGGCTTACATGAGGCCGAGCCCAAATACAACAATACAAGCAACACAAGCAATAATAACAACAATACAAGCAAATCAAATAAAAACATGGACAATAAAAATGCAACAATTAACAATAAGACAACACACAATTAAAACTGTGGGTAGGCCAAATGTAAAGTTCAAATTGGCCTGGACCAACTTAGAATCATAGAGTTGGAAGAGACCTCATGGGCCATCCAGTCCAACCTCCTGCCAAGAAAGCAGGAAAATTGCATTCAAAGCACCCCCCACAGATGGCCATCCAGCCTCTTTTTAAAAGCTTCCAAAGAAGGAGCCTCTACCACACTCCGGAGCAGAGAGTTCCACTGCTGAACAGCTCTCACAGTCAGGAAATTATTCCTAATGTTCAGGTGGAATCTCCTTTCTTGTAGTTCAAAGCCATTGTTCCGCGTCCTAGTCTCCAGGGCAGCAGAAAATAAGCTTGCTCCCTCCTCCCTATGACTTGGGCCCTCTCTCCAGGTGTTTTGGACTTCAACTCCCACAATTCCTAACAGCCTCAGGTCCCTTCCTTTCCCCCCTCAGCCGCTTATAAGGGGATTCTGGGAATGGAAGTCCCAAGTACAGGCCACAAGAGAGGAGGAGAATGGACACAGTCAGCCAGACCTCTGATTGGCAGAGAAAGAAAGTGAGAAACACACACACAGGGAAAACCCTCAACTCCCATCATGCGTCGGAGGGAGCACAAGGCTCCTTCAATGCTTGCGTAGCACAAAGTGCTTCTGGGAAAGCGAGTTCCAGTTTGTCTAGAGTGTGCACAGGGGGAAGACCTTCAGAAAGGGATGTCTAAACCAGGCCTGGACTATCTTGGGCCCTCCAAGTGTTTTGGACTTCTTCCAACTACACCAGTGGTTCTCAACCTGTAGGTAAGGAGCCTCCGGTGGCGCAGTTGATTAAACCCTTGTGCTGGCAGGACTGAAGACCGAGAGGTCACAGGTTCGAATCCGGGGAGAGCGCAGATGAGCTCCCTCTATCAGCTCCAGCTCCTCATGTGGGGACATGAGAGAAGCCTCCCACAAGGATGGTAAAAACATCAAAACATCTGGGTGTCCCCTGGGCAACGTCCTTGCAGACGGCCAAATCTCTCACACCAGAGGCGTCTTGCAGTTTCTCAAGTCGCTTCTGACACAACCAAGAAAAAAAAAAACCCTGTAGATCCCCAGGCTTTTTGGCCTACAACTCCCAGAAATCCCAGCCAGTTTACCAGCTGTTAGGATTTCTGGGAGTTGAAGGCCAAAACATCAGGGGACCCCAGGTTGAGAACCACTGAACTATACCATATTCATTATTATTATTATGGCTATTATTATTGAGGCTATATGACCTGCGGGGTCCCCTAATTCTGTTATTCTACAATTCATTCAATTTCTCTAGCCCTCAAAGTGGATGGGCGGGATGTTAAGAGCCTCTTCCGCCGCAGCCAGGCCCTCCAGCAACTGGGCCGCCCGGACCAGGCCATCCAGGACCTCCAGCGCTGCATCAGCCTGGAGCCCCGGAACAAGGCCTTCCAGGAGGCCCTGCGCAGTCTTGGCAGCAGCATGCAGGAGAAGGTAGGAGTGGGCGGGTGAACAAGGTGGTGGCTACTGCTGCAGGGAACGAGCAACACCCTGTGGACCCTAAAGGAGTCCCTCTCCACAACCAGCCCTCCCTGGCCTTGCCCAAGGTGCAGGGACTCTCCAAATTGGGGCTGGCCTCCTTCCCCACATTTCCTAGAGAGACTTTAAGCTGACAGAGGAAGCCAAGCACCTCTATTCACTTTGTCTTAGATGAGAAACATGTCCTGCACTGACTCCAAAGTGGAACAGATGTTCAAGTTGCTGCTTGACAACGAAGAGAAGGATCTGGACAAGAAACAAAAGGTGGCTCTTCTGTGGGGAAGGGAGGGGCACGAGGCATTGCCTCATGGAGAAGAGGGTGGGGCTGTGCTAGTGCAGACCTGTGCAACAGCTAGAATTAGAGGGTATTGTGCAAGGACTCGACATGCAGCACTAGAAGGATGTGCCCCTTAGCCGGCTTAGGGTGGATATTTAATTACACATAGTTTCATTGCACTGTGATGACAGAAGCATCATGGCTGGGGTTCCCCAAGGGGGAAATCTCTGTTCTTTCATGTTTCTCTGTGTTGGTTCTGGAGAAGCCCAGCTAATGCTCTTCTCTGCTCTTGTCATGGATTCCATCAGCTGTTACTGAGAATTGCTGACAACAGCAGAGTTCTCCCGTACCAGTTTCAAGGCTGGAGAGAGATAGCACCTGAGCATTTCTGCAAGTCTTCTGTGAGAAAAGGACTGACTGGAGCCTGAGAAAGGAATGCTAATGAGAACCAACAGAGAGCTGGTTGAACCCTGGTGATCCAGCTCTGTTCTCATTATCATTCCTTTCTAGAGAAAGGATTCAAAGGAGTAAAAAACTAGAATTTTGGCATGCAATCTTCTTTATCGTTGAGCTGTAAAGATTTATTTCCGAGAACCCGTTGTGAGTGATTCTGGATTGCTAGAAAGGTTATGCAGTACATCACGGTGTTCTCTTTAGTATGAGCTGTGTGTGCACATGTGTGCATGGGGATCTCTGTTAAATGGGGGGCTAGGGAGTGAGTACTGCTTGCCAAACTGAGCAGCCCTTCTCTTCCTGGCCAGGCAGCTCAGAACCTCATTGTTTTGGCTCGTGAGGAAGCTGGGGCAGAGAAGATTTTCCAAAATGATGGTGTGCGCCTGTTGCTGCAGCTCTTGGACACAGGCCGGCTAGACATGACGCTGGCAGCCCTCCGGACTCTCGCTGGCCTTTGCCAGGGGCACCGCTCCCGGGTGAGTGAGCACAGGCAAAGGCCTTTCAGCAGGTTCTCTGGAAGAATTCAGAAATGGGTTGCAATGACAGAATAAAGGCATTCTTATCTAATTGTCAGATTAGAAGGTAAAGCTCATACTTGAGATGACAAGATCAGAATTCAAAATGACCTTAACAGATTAGAGAGTTGGGCCAAAACTAACAAAATGAATTTCAACAAGGACAAATGTAAAATGAAAGTCAAAGATACAGGATGGGGGAGGCCTGGCTCAACAGTAGTGCATGTGAGAAAGATCTTGGAGTGTCAGTGGGCAACAAGTAGAACAAAGGCCAATAGTGTGATGCAGTAACTAAAAAAGCCAGTGGTACTTTGGGCTGCATCAAAAGGAGTCTAGTGTCTAGATAGGGCAAACTTCAGCCCTCCAGGTGTTTTGGACTTCAAGTCCCACAATTCCTAACAGCTGGTAGGCCATACCCATGCTTGGTCTAGATCAAGGGAAGTAATGGTGCCTCTCTATTCTGCTTTGGTTATGCCTCACCTGGAATACTGTGTCCAATTCTGGGCACCACAGTTCAAAAGAGATTGCATCAAATTAGCAGAAAGGGGTTCAAGAGGCCTTATCCAGAACATTACCTAAACACAAGTCAACGTGAAGTGCTAAGGCTGTGTCACCAGGAGTATAGTGTCCAAACTGAGGGAAATAGCAGTAAGGCTGTAATGCTTAGACAGCATCTGGACTGCTATATCCATTTTGGGGCATCAAAAAGAGCAACTGAGGGAGTTGGCTATATTGACCTTGGAGCAGCAAAGACGGAGTAGAGTGTTGTGTGGTTTCTGGGCTGTATGGCTGTGTTCTATTTATTTTTATTTATTTGCCATATTTTTATTTATTTACCATATTTTCTCAACCATGGAGGGGACTCAACGTGGCCTTACAACAGGCAGCAATTTTATGCCATGCACACAAATATCAAATAAACAATGACAATTAAAACCAAACAATTTAAATGTGAATTATTAAAACATCATTTATTTATTATTTGTTTACTGCATTTGTATACTGCCTTTCTCAGCCAGAGGCGACTCAAGGCGGTTCAATTAAAATCATGCCATCCAAAACATAATCCAGGACCACTCCATTTGTCAATCATCTTGATTCGTAGTCACTTATTGCACTGCTCCAATTACTTGTCAAAAGCTTGGTCCCAAGCCACATGTTAAGTTTTTTCCTGAAGGTCAGGCGAGAAGAGGCTGATCTGATTCTAGCAGCATTTTCTCCTGATGTTTTGCCTGCATCTGGCTGGCATCTTCAGAGGCATGGTAGTCATTTTTAAATACCCAAAGGGATGTCATGTATAAGAAGGAGGAAGCTTGTAGTACCTTACATCTGTAAGATTTGATCGTTCTAAGATGCAGATTCCGGACAGGGCAGAAAGACAGGTAGCTCCAGCTGTTCCTAAGTGATGGCTGCCCTTTTTTTCTTGCAGACGATGTCAATCCTGACGGAGTTGGGGACTGAGCGCCTCTTTGCAGTTCTAGAGATGGAGGCTGAGCAGGTCTGCTTGGCTGCTTACAACCTGCTGCAGGTTGTGTTTGATGCACTTAAGGAGGGGCTGCAGAAGGAGGAGCTTGGCAAGAAGGACAACATCTTGGTGCCGGGTGAGGTCCTGCATGCTTAGCGATGGAGGGCAGGGCTCTGGCTTCAGCTTCTACAAGCTGAGCAGAATGGTCCCCTTTTTCTCCCTTTCAGCGAGCCAGATTTCTTAGTGGCTGTTGCTGTATATTTCAGTAAGGAACTGCGTGTCCCTTGCCAGTTCAGACATGGATTGTCCCCCTTTTTTGTTTCTGCTTGCACAGATACAGCCAAAGAATTGAAATTGCTGCTCCGGCGTCTTCTGGAGGCTCTGACCAGGGATAGAATCTCTGGCTATGGTCGGGACAGCCTCCTCAACTTGCTTATCAACAAGGTGCCTCGGAAATCCCCACAGGACCCCAACAACTGCCTGACCCTCTGGGTCATTGACCAGGGTAAGCACACCGTATAGAGGATTGTCTCTTTCTCCTTTGACTTCTCCTGAGCCTCCCAGTGAGCACACACTTCTCTTTGCAGGTCTCAAAGACATCCTGGAGGTCGGGGGCACTGTCAGTCAGAGCCCTGGGGGCCTGCAGGTAACTGAGAACACCCACATGACTGCCGCTGTCCTCCTCAACAAGCTCTATGGAGACCTGAAATGTGATGCGGAGAGGGAAAACTTCCACCGGCTTTGTGAGGATTATGTCAGGTGCGGCTGGGCAAAGCATGTGCGTGGTGTGTGAGCTTTTGGTGCATGTCTAAAAAGCTGAGGATCGCAGGTGGGCTGGAGGTGCTTCAGCTGCCTCTTGGTTGCTGCCATAGCAAGTTTTGGTGCGACGACTGAGGCCATGCTAGCAACCTGCAAACCTTGAGGTGTCCTCTGTTTTCCTTCCAGGGGCTGGTTCCAGGACCACGGGATCCCAGGGCAGCTCAGGGCCATCCAGACAGTGTCCTGCCTCCTGCAAGGTCCAGCTGAGGCTGGGAACCGGGTGCTGGAACTGAGCGGTGTCATGGAGGGCATGCTGGCCTTGTGTGCCTCTTCAAAGGAGGCGGAGCAGCTGGTGGCGGTGGAGGCCCTGATCCATGCGGCAGACAAGGCCAAGCGCGCCACCTTCATCACCGCCAATGGTGTGACACTTCTCAAGGAGATCTACAAGCACAGCCCGCGCGACACCATCCGGATCCGTGCCTTAGTGGTGAGAGGAAGGGAGGACAGGCTTCTGGGGGCCTTCCTGTGTCTTCCCTAAGAATGAGGGACAGCCCTACCGCAGTGCACTTGTTACACTCTTGTTGAAGGCTGAGATTTGAAAAGTGAATTTTAGAAGTAGTGGTTTCCAAACTTTTTTAGACCAGGGACCACTTTCCAACATTAGTACCAAAAGGGTTACGAATCAGTTTTTGGTCAACTTTAGATTTGGCTTGGTAATTTGGGGTGCTGATTGAGAAAATTGCATTGGATTGAAGTTTGGTTGCACGTGTGTGTCAATCTGAAACTATAAAACTCATGATGCAGGACAGTCAAGGGTGGTACTACACTTTTGCAATTTGGCAGCCACCCCTTAGTGTTTTTCTGCATAATTATTGTGTTTCTAATCTTGTTTCCCATTTCTGATTGGGAATAGAGACTAGAAATATTTGGGCAGTGTTCCTCAACACTCTCTGTTTGCAGGGCCTCTGTAAGCTGGGCTCGGCAGGAGGCACAGACTTCAGCATGAAGCAGTTTGCTGAGGGCTCCACCCTGAAGCTGGCCCGTCAGTGCCGCAAGTGAGTGTATATGAGGATTTGGAGGAAGATCATGTCTTCGCTGGCTGCAAGGAGGCCTGACTCCTTTCTGCACCATTTTTTCTTGGTCATGCAGTGAAGACAGGGGGAGTTCACTGCCCCATTTGCTCCCTGCCTCCATCTCTTTCCCCTCTTGGTTGGTGTTATTGTGGAGGGCGGCTGAGGGAGCGAGGGACTGTTTGTAATCTGGCTGCTCCCTTCCCTGTCTCCAGGTGGCTCTGCAATGAGGCCATGGACCGTGGCACACGGCACTGGGCTGCAGAGGGCCTGGCCTTCCTCACTTTGGATGCCGATGTTAAGGAGGAGCTTCTGGAGGATAAGGCAGCACTACAGGCGCTTTTCCACCTGGCCAGGGTGAGGCTGGAGCTGGACTGAGAGCCACCATGTCTGCTTCTGGATTTCTGCTTCTCTGCCCCTGATGCAGCTGGGAACCACGCTCTGCCCAATTGTTGTAGAATGTGGCTCTGAGGGAGTTCAGCAGTTAGAAGAGGCATTCCTTTCTGCCCTGGTTGTTTCAGGAGTGACACAATTGCCTCCTCAGAGCCTGCGGGAGATCTTTTCTTCCTTCAACTGGCAAAACAAGTGTCTGGTTTCCCCTGTGGTCAAGGGTTAGTTGGGCATGTCCTGAGGAACCCCTCCTCTCTCCCCGAACTGCATAACGAGCTGTTAGGGAATCTGAGCTGTTAAGCTTAAAATGACCCTCAGTTGGGATGACTGCACCATAAATATAGCAGAGTACCAGAAGTTAACTTCATAACCAGCACTAACTTATATGTGATGAGCTGGGATAAGCTTCTGTTCCTTAAGATGGCAGAGTCAGAACTTTATGTTCAAAAAAATTTATTGAAGTAAAATAAATATATTATTGATAGAAAGAGTCTTGGAGTCTAACTAGCTTACTAAATCTCTTCTAAGAAAAGTCAAAAGTCAAAAAGGTCCGTGCAGCTACATTTTGTCTATAGAGAGGCAAAATGCATCCTTACTGGAAGGATGGAAAAAGCAGAAGAGACCATGGTGGAGACTGCATGGTCAACCCAAGGGCATAAAACTTAAAAAAGAAGTTCCCTCACAGAATTCCATTGCTACATCATCAAAGGAAAGGAGACTGTGACAAGGAGAAAGAGTAAAGACAAAGCCCTTTCTGAGAAAACATGCATAGGAATGTAGAGGGAGGAATCCCTCAGCCTAATCCCATCTTTTCTAGCTACTCATTGTGGTCTGGAAACTTGATGACACAAAGGACTTGTACAGTCCAGGGATGAAACCTAACATTGGCAAATTAGTGCTCCAGGGAGAGACACTGGCAGGGTCTCCATGTCCTGGGCTCTTCTCTATGTAAAGACTCCTTTAGGTGTCTTGGTCCCAACTTGCAGACCAAACAGGAACAGCCAAGTAATGAAGTGAGATAGCAATACAGACCAAAGCCATTTCATTGGCCATTGCACTCAAGCTTTTTTTTTTGTTAACCAATCAGGAAAGAGGTTGACAAAAAGTTCTTGGTGCGCTAAACTCCTTCCTGCCAACAGCTCAGGTACCACTTCTGAAATGTATTTGAAGGCTGGCCCACCCAGGGCAGGACAGCCCTCTAGTCTTGAGATGGTGGAAGGGTGTGCGATGATTCCTGGGTGCCCCAAAGTAATGAATCTGAGTCACTTCCCTCTCTCTCCCCTAATCTTTGCTTTCTCAATCCTCCCCAGTCAGAGAACCAGAGTTCCCTCTTTGCTGTGGCCTCCACACTGGTGAACTGTACCAACAGCTATGACCACGAAGAGCCAGACCCTCAGATGGTGGAGCTGGCCAAGTATGCTAAGCAGCACATCCCTGAGAAGCACCCAAAGGTGACCGGGCTGAGGGAACAGGTGGGGTGGGAGGCAAGGCTGGGCTATATCTCTCCCTGGGCCTCTCTGCTGACTTCCTCTGGTGAGGACAAGATGCTCCTTTATGGCCTGGGCTGTAGAAGGGATGCACATGTGTCTGTCCAAAGCTTTGCATTGGGGCAACTGCTGCAGAGGGACCACGAAACCCTGGAGTAAAGGCAGGGGGTGGGTGTTGGAATTCAGCCCCATACTGCCAAAGTCTCAAGTCCTCAATGAATAGTCTGAGGGTTTCCCCTTTCCCCCATGTCTCCTGAAGGACAGTTGGAATGTATCTATTTTGTTTTTCTCTCTCTGTTGGTACTCTCATTCTGATTGGTTGTGTAGAATGAATACTTTTCTGCTGCAAGCCTTTACTTTTGAATCTTTGATTATGCCGTGTGTGACTCAGAGAGATGTGGTGCTAGGATGATTTTACCCTCTCTTGAAACCTTAGAAGAGACAGGTGTTAGAGTAATTCAGACCCAGTTCTTGATTATTAAGAAATGCAGTCATTTCTTATTATTGTAAACAAACCTATCCACAGGACTCTGCTCACATTTTGGGTCCCTCTTGTTGTGTAGGACAAGCCAGAGTTTGTGCATCGGCGTGTGAAGAAGTTGCTTGGTGCTGGCATGGTGTCAGCCCTCACTTGCATGATGAAGAAGGAGAGCGTAGCCCTGAGCCCTGCCTGCCGGGAGCTCATTTCCAGGTTAGGACCCTACTCCATCGTGGCCAGGTGGGAAGCCTTGGAATTGTGGGCCCAGGAAGGTCACCTAGTTCTGCCTCAGGGCAATGCTATGGAAGCTTAGACCACCTTCCAGCTATTGAAAGATGGCTGTCATGTTGATTCTGACTGTCCTCCAGGCTAAATGCAGACAACTCCCTCAACTGGTCTGGAGTGCAATCCCTGTGGGCTGCCTGGTGCAGCACCCTCATACAATAGGGGGCGGGGGTCCGGGTTAGTGTGGGCACCTGCCATCATTTGGGGAGGGGCCTCATTGTGCCTTCTCTGTGCCTAGAGTGTTCCTGGCTGCTGTGGAAGATCCAGAGGACAGGGGTGCTGTGGTGGCTGCTGGAGGGGGAAAGGTGAGCACCACCCCTCCTTCCTCTCCTTTGGCCAGTGTCACTGCTATGCTGGTGCTGCCACGTGACCATTCACTTTTTCCCTGTGTTAGGCTCTCATCCCTTTGGCCTTGGAGGGCACTGACGTTGGGCAGACCAAGGCGGCCCAAGCCTTGGCCAAGATCGCCATCACCACCGCTCCAGAGATGGCCTTCCCGGGCGAGCGGGTTAGTGTGGAGGGAGGGGCTGTGCTGCCAAGCAAGTGTGTCTGTGTGTGGGGAGGTCCCCCTGAGAATATTGAGGATAATGAATGGCTCATGACCTGTAAGGATTGCAACTCATCAGGGGTAGGAGAGTTTCAGAGGAATATTCCTTGAGTTTATATGATGCTTTAGGAGGCAAAGGTTGAGGTAGACTTCTTTTAGAATAACAATGCTTGTTTAATGTGTCGTCAAAGGCTTTCATTACAGTGAGTTTTCCAGGCTGTCTCGCCATGTTCCAGAAGCATTCTCTCCTGACATTTTGCCTGCATCTATGGCAGGCATCCTCAGAGGTTGATGGGTCTGTTGGAAAACTAGGCAAGTGGGGTTTATATATCTGTGGAATGCCCAGGTTGGGAGAAAGAACTCTTGTCTGTTTGAGGCCAGTGTGGATGTTACAATTAGCTACCTTGATTAGCATTGGATATCCTTGCAGCTTCAAAGCCTGGCTGATTGCTGCCTGAGGGAATCCTTTGTTTGTAGGTGTTAGAATCAATCAGGGCCAGCTAACACCTCCAAAAGATCCCCCAGGCAGCAATCAGCTAGGCTTTGAAGCTGCAAGGCCATTAAATGCTAATGAAGGTGGCCAGTTGCAACATTCACACTTGCCTCAAGCAGACAAGAGTTCTTTCTCCCACCCTGGACATTCTACAGACATAAACTTCACATGTCTAGTTTTCCAACAGACATCTCAATCTCTGAGGATGCCTGCCACAAATGTGGGTGAAGGTCAGGAGAGAATGCTTCTGGAACATGGCCATACAGCCCGGAAAACTCACAGCAACTCACTGTTTGTTTACTCATAACATCAACTTCAATTATAAGGGCACATTTCTTTTGAGGGTTAAAGGACTTCAAAAATGTTTGGAGAGTTTGTATATCAAACACTTATATATACTTTGATTATTTCTTCACAAACGATGCTGCTCCACAGAGCTCTCCACAATAAGAGTCCGCACAAGCCTCAATAGTTTACTAGCTTCTAACATTAGCTTTTGCACACTAAGAAACTTCTAGCTCCAACAGATATTCTCTAACAAGGCTCAAAGCTCAGCTGGCTTCTCTAAATGTCACTCCTTTTATAACTGTGTCAGTCAGATGATCGCAGCCCTTCCCACTGCTTCAGTAACAAAGAGACAAGGTAACTGCAAATTGTAAACAGGACATACACTTCAGGTTACAAAATGATATACTAATAAATCATTATTACACAACAGACAAATATCACATAGAGGAGGCTTGAGAGGTTGCATTCTCCAACAGAGAGTACCTGTGAGCGTGTGGGAGCCAGGGCCCCTCTGCGGCAACTTCCACCCAAAGGCTCTCCTTTCTGCAGGTGTATGAGGTGGTCCGTCCCTTGGTGAGCCTCCTGCACCTGAACCGCAGTGGCCTGCAGAACTTTGAGGGGCTGATGGCCCTCACAAACCTGGCTGGGACCAGCGAGCGGCTGAGGTGAGGGGCAGTGGGGCCAGAATGGGAGGGGGACCCCTGGCTGGTGTGGGAGGGGGAACTTTGGGGGTCCTTGCTGACGCACCTTCTGGGCTGCAGGCAGAAGATCGTGAAGGAGAAGGCCCTGCCCATGGTTGAGGGCTACATGTTCGAGGAGCACGACATGATCCGTGTGGCGGCTGTGGAGTGCATGTGCAACTTGGCCCTGAGCCCAGAGGTATGTGCAGGGAGGGGGAAGCATTAGGAGGGGACACCAGGAGGACATAGCTCTGCCCCTTCCTTCACTCAGGCCCACTTCTCGCTTAGGTGGCTGAGCTGTTCCTGGCCGAAGGCAGTGATCGGCTGAAGCTGATCGTTCTCTACAGCGGAGAGGAGGATGACCGGCTCCGGCAGGCCGCTTCGGGGACGCTGGCCGTCTTGACGTCGCTGATGCCTGAGATCTGCACCCGCATCCCTCAAGTGGTGAGTGGGGCTTTTCCTCCCAGGCAGGCACAAGCGTGTTTAGCAAGGGGGGGGGGTCTGTCACCAAGGGGTCACTGACTTTCTCTGGCACATGACCTTCCCTCTGCATGTGGGCAGGAGTAGGCTGCTGCTTGGTGACTAGGACTCCTTAGCAGCCTTCGCCTTGAGTTTGCCAGTTCTCCTTTCTGTGCCACTCCAGTTGGCTGCAGTTGAGGTTCGGTGCCCTAAAATCTATAGTATCCGTATTTTCCAATCAGACACTAGGGATGAGGTGAATATTACTTTATTTATCGTATCAGAAGCAAACTGAGGGTACAGTTGCAATGTATTTTAAAAACACAAAGTTTTACAACCTTGGCATTATACTAAATGTCATTTGACTAGAAGCTGGTCACTTGGAGTGCCTCTGGTGTTGATCTAAGAAGGTTCTCTACTGTGCATGTGGCAGGGCTCAGACTTTATTGTACTAGTGGTCTGTGGTTTGCTTCTCTCCACACTCGCATGTTATGGAATGCACTTTGTGGCCCATTTCATAAGCTTGGCTCTGCATCTCGTGGCACAAGAGCAGAGTCTATTGAATGCCTCCCAAATTACCCAGTCTTCTGTGTGCCCAGGAGGGAGTTTCTCATCTGGTATCAGCCACTGATTGAGGCCCCAGGTTGTAGCTTGCCACTTTTGGTCTCTGGCTTGCTGAGATGTTTCTACAAGTAACTTTGTAAACTTAAAATACAACAGATTAATTTGCAGAATAACAGTAAGATATGAGGTGCAATAGAAAGAGTGCCACGTCAGACTGTTCTGCACCATGGGTTTTAGTTGATCAGAGTAGAGTAAACATGCACACAAACAAACCAAACTTTTCTCTCTTTCCTTCACTTTTCCCTTCCAGCTCTGTCCTTTAAGTTGATGCCGCTCTGTTCCAAAACAATTCTGTTTTCCAAAACAATTGTCCTTGGTTCTTGTGGGTTTTTTCGGGCTATAGAGCCATGTTCTAGAGGCATTTCTCCTGACGTTTCGCCTGTTTAGCTGTTATAATTTTAGAGTTTTTTAATACTGGTAGCCAAATTAAATAGCCAAATTTAATACTGGTAGCCAAATTAAAAAACTCTAAAATTATAACAGCTAAACAACAGAGAGGAAAAAACCAGGCACAGATTAACACCTCCCAGCAACAGATTTTCCCAGACTCAGGCAGGCCTTCAAATGCTAATGAAGGTGATCAGCTAAACATTCACACCTAACTGCAGCAGGGAAGAGCTCCTTGCCCCACCCCAGCCATTCCACAGATATATAAACCCATTTTTCCTACTTCCAACAGACCTTCTCAACCTCTGAGGATGCTTGCCATAGATGCAGGCGAAACGTCAGGAGAAATGCCTCTAGAACATGGCTCTATAGCCCGAAAAAACCCACAAGAACCTAGTGATTCCAGCCATGAAAGCCTTCGACAATAAATTGTCCTTGGCTTCACTTTCCCATCTCTTCTAGGTTATTCTTCGCCTTTTCCATACACTTCTCTTACCGCCCTGCAATGCTGTCTTTCTCCAGTTCCTTTGCTCCTTTCACTCCTCCCCTCTCTTTAACTCATTCTCAAAACTTTCTTATAAAATTCACACTTGTAAAATCTCAATCTCTTTACTACTGTTGCCACTCATAAGCCCCCACCCCCCTTTTCCTGGCTGCTTCCTGTGAAAAGAGGGCTTTGCTGGAGAAGCAGAAAGAGACCGACCTTGTGGAGACAAAATGTGGGGTATAAGTAAACATAATAATAATAATTATTATAATAATAATTATAATTATAATTATAATTGTTATTATAGGGAACTGTCCAACGTTTGATCAAATACAACAGCCAGCAGAGTGATCTTGTGTGTTGTGGACCCATCTTGTTGTATTTCTAATAATAATAATAATAATAATAATAATAATAATAATAGCATATAGATTTCGTTTGCTGTGACATACTGTGCTTTTGTGTCAATAATAATGATAATTATAATAATAATAATATTAATAATAATAATCCTTCCTCATCTCCTCATCTCCTTCCTCACTCCCCCCCCCCCCCCCCCCCCCCCCCATGCTGTCAGACTGAGGCTTGGCTGGAGATCCTGCAGGCCCTCCTGCTCAGCCCCAACAGTGCCCTCCAGCACCGGGGTGCAGTGGTCGCCAGGAACATGGTGGCGGCAGACAAGGAGCTGGCAGCGAAGCTGATGGAGACGGAGACGATGGAGATCCTGTCGGCCCTCTGCGGCCTGAAGGACCAGCCCCAGGTGGCCCAAGTGGCCCAGGAGTGCATGGCGCAGGCTGTGAGCCTTGGGTTGATCAAGCCGGGTGCCAATGCTGGGGAGTGAGAGAGGGCATCACATGGGGGGGGGGGGGGGGGGGGGAGGAGAGCACAAACACTGTGGGGAAGGGGCTTTTTGCATGCCCAGCAGTGGGAAACAGGGGGCTCACACTTCCTGGTCTGGCACTGGCCATGCCTTTTGCTTCCTTGCCTCCTTTGCTACCTCCTCACCTGCACTTTGGGGCCATTGGGTTGGGGCTCAGTGAGTCCCTAGTACTTATTTGTTCCAATTATAGGGGATCCAAAATACAGCTTTATTTCTGATCAGAGCAAAACTTGAGGGTGACCAGCAAATGAAAGAAATTGCGCCACCCAATCTGAGATGCAGCTCAGTCCTTTGTATAGTCAGAAGCAAAAACATGCGCATGAAGCTTTGTTTTTCTTATTTAAAATCTGTTCCATGTATCCTTCTCTCTCTGGTGCCTTTTATCTAACCTTCTACAGCCATTCCTCGCAACGATCCCCCTCCTTTCTTCTTTCCTTCTTGCGCTTCCTCTCTCTGGGCCATAAAAGTCCTTTGAAACCCTTTTACCTACTCTCACCTCTTCTCAATTGCATATCTGAGGCCCTTTCTACACTGCCATATATATTTATATTTATTTAGTATATTTCCATCCCACTCTCTCTCACCCCGCAGGGGACTCTGAGCGGCTTACAATATGGCAATATTCAGTTCCGCACATTCAACAACCGACAGTACAATACATCATATAGCAATAAAAACATATAAACACCATAAAGTTGTTAAAATATGTCCTAAAGTTGTCATTTGTGTGCTACATTGTGCTGATTCCGTATTGCACACCCCAAACGCCTGATTCCAAAGCCACTCGTTTCCTGAAAACCAGGAGGGAGGGGGCCAGTCTGATATCACTGGCGAGGTAGTCCCATAGCTGAGAAGCCACCACTGAGAAAGCCCTGTCTCTCATCCCCACCAGCCGTGCTTGTGATGGGTGTGGGACCAAGAGCAGGGCTTCTCTTGCAGATCTTAACTCTCTAACCCAATGGCTCTCAACCTGTGGGTCCCCAGATGTTTTGACCTTCAACTACCATATATCCTAATAGCTGGTAAGCTGGCTGGGATTTCTGGGAGTTGTAGGCCAAAATACCTGAGGACCCACAGGTTGAGAACTACTGCTCTAAATGGTTCATAGGGAGGGATATGTTTGGACAGGTAAGTTGACTGGAGCCGTTTAGGGCTTTATAGGCCAAAGCCAGCACTTTGAATTATGCTCGGTAGCAGACTGGCATCCAGTGGAGCAGACGTAGCAAGGGGGTTGTATGCTCCCTGTATGTTGCTCCAATGAGCAACCTGGTTGCTGCCCGTTGGACTACTTGGAGCTTCCGAATAGTCTTCAAAGGCGGCCCCATGTAGAATGCATTGCAGTAGTCTATTTGAGATGTAACAAGAATGTGGACCACCAATAGCCAAATTATCTGCTTTGAACTGGATTATATGGCAGTGTAGAAGGGGCCTAAGACTCCTGCTGTGCTCTGTTTTATTTAGTGAAGAGTTTCAGCTTTCTTTTCAACTTGTCCAGTTCCCTCTTTCCTGTCTCAGTCTTCCATTTCGAAAATTTCTTATAACATCTTTTAAAAATCCATATTTATTAAATTTCATTCTCCCCAGTTGCATGGAGGGGTTCCCCCCTCATTGCTGCACTGGCCCCCCATTTCCTCCCAGTTTTGGCTTCTTGCATTCCTTGGCTACTAAGCATTCCTTGTGGCTAGCCCTGGTTTATTTATTGAATATTGCTGATGGGGGCAAAGGGAGCAGGGCTGGCCTCTTTTCCTGTAATGTGGATTTTGCTCATTTCTCCAAAGACTGATATGAAATGTATATGAATATGCAATGGGGGTGGCAGTGTGAGACGGGACCCAAGTGCCTGCTTCTTTTGGTGCCCAATGGCCTCAAATAGGGAGAAACACAAGAGCTTCACAAACAAAGCACAAAATATGCTACAGGCAAATGCACTGTGACAAAGGTGGTTGGTCGGGAACAGTTTACAGGCCGTCGAGGTGCAAGATTCCTTGTGAAATATGTATAACTATCTCTTTGTTTACAGAGGCCTTCAGTCTGTCTTGGAAACACAAATAAAGGGGCACTTTTTTGCACAATCGCGGGGCTTTGTCTCTTTGGGTCTGAAAGGGATACGTTGCAACTTAACAAAATTTGAAAAAATATTCTGTGCCTGGTTTGAAAGTGTTATTTCCTATTTAAATGTGCGGTCCTTACTTTGAAAGGAGTCGCTCAACTCGCAGAAACTTTGTTTTTGTGTAATCAATTAGAAAGGACCCCCAAAGGTCATCTAGTCCAAGCCCTTTCTGCCAAGTAGGAGGACACAATCCAATCCCTCCCAATATATGGCCCTCCAGGCCCATAATAGCAGTTTTATGGAAGCCATAGCCAGAGAATCCTCAAATTGGGACCCCCAAAGGTCATTCAGCCTGACCCCCTGCTTTCTAACAGAGGCACCAGCAAAGCCCTCCCAGCAGATGGCCAACTCAGGCCAGTGATAGAACCAATTATAATATAATACTAAAATATGATATCATAATTATATATGTTATATTACATCACGGGCGGCTCAACCCATTACGCAAAGTAAGCATTTGCAGTATAGTTGATTTTGCCCAGGGGCGCTCTTGAGGCGCTCTTGGGGGAAAATAGACCTTGACATATGCATGTATAGTTCACCTACAATCAAAGAGGATTCTGAACTCCACCAATGATGGAATTGAACCAAATATGGCACACAGAATTCCCACGACGAACAGAAAATATATATCAGTGATTGGTTTTGGGGGGGGGGGGGCAAAATACTGTTTGCTTACCATTGAAAATTACCTAGGGTAATTACATGTAATATTACATGTATTACATGTAATATTACTAATATTACAGTATAATGGTTTAGTGCAATATAGTAATATATAAGATTAATGTGCTATGGTAATATAATATATTGTATATACATATTATATTGATAATATAATGTAATACAATATACTTATAATATAATTATATATGTTATATTACATGTAATATTACAGTATAATGGTATAGTGCAATATAGTAATATATAATACTAATATTGTGCTATGGTAATAATATAATATACTAGTTGTCCCCTGTCACACATTGCTGTGGTTCAGTCTGTTGATCTAGAAAATAAAGTAATTAGAAAGTGTTGATTTCTAATATATGTAATTTCTTTATGCTTGTGGGTAAATGGCATTTCTTGCTATTTCAGTGTTGATGTGGAGAGTGTCTGGTTTGCCCACCCTGGAACATGGAACATATCATTCTCCTTCTTTAAGGGTCCCTTTCAAATCTATGATACTATATATGTGTGTGAATGATATTATCTATCTATCTATGGCTGGATGGCTCTTTATCAGGAGCACTTTGATTACGTTTTCTTGCCCTGATGAAGGGAGTTGGACTGGATGGCCTTAAGTATTTTCTGTTGGTCATGGGGGTTCTGTGTGGGAAGTTTGCCCCGATTCTGTTGTTGGTGGGGTTCAGAATGCTCTTTGATTGTAGGTGAACTGTGAATCCCAGTGACTACAACTCCCAAATGCCAAGGTCTATTTCCCCCAAACTCCATTTGTGTTCATATTTGGGCGTATTGAGTGCTTGTACCAAGTTTGGTCCAGATCCATCATTGTTTGAGTCCACAGTGCTCTCTGGATGTAGGTGAACTACAACTCCCAAACTCAAGGTCAATGCCCACCAAACCCTTCCAGTATTTTCTGTTGGTCATGGGAGTTCTGTGTGCCAAGTTTGGTTCAATTCCATCGTTGGTGGAGTTCAGGATGCTCTTTGATTGTAGGTGAACTATAAATCCCAGCAACTACAACTCCCAAATGACAAAATCATAATTTTTTGAGTGATGGTCACTCCTTGTGTTGTGAGACGTTTTGTTGCCAAATTTGGTGTGATTTCGTTCATTGGTTCTTTTGTTTTTAAGGTACTCATTATGCACAGAGCATTTATATATAGATACTAGCTTTACCCGCCACGCGTTGCTGTGGCCAACCTTCTCTCCCTCTTTCTCTCCTTCTTTCACTCCTTCCTTCATTTCCTTTTCTTCTTTCCTTTCTTCCTTCTCTACCTGTTTACTTCCTTCCTTAGCTTTTTGCTCCCATCCTTCCTTCTCTTTATTTCTTTCCTTCCCTCCCTCTTTCTCTCCTTCTTTCTCTTCTTCCTTTGCTCCGTCTTTCCTCCCTTCCCTTTTTCTTTCCTTCTCTCCTCCTTCCTTCTCTTCCTCTTTCCTTCCTCCTCCCTTTTTATTTTCCTTCCTCTTTCTCTCCTTTTTTCCCTCTCTATCTCTTTCCTTCCTTCCTTCGCTCTTGACTTCCAGTCTTCCTTTCCTTTCTTTCTTTTCTTCCCTCCCTTTCTCTTCTTCCTTTTCCTCTCTTCCCCTTCCCAAATCCCCCTTCCTTCCTTCCTTCCTTCCTTCCTTCCTTCCTTCCTTCCTTCCTTCCTTCCTTCCTTCCTTCCCTCCTTCCTTCCTTTTGACACCTTCCCTTCCCCTTCCCTTTCTTCTTCTTTTCTATCTTACTTTCTTTTCCTACGTCCTTCCTTTCTCCGTTCTTTCCCATTCTCCTTCTCTGTATTCTTTCTTTCCTACCTTTCTTCTTTCATATACCTTCTCAGCTTCCCTCGTTCCTTCCTTTCTTTCCTTGCTTCCTTTCTCCGTTCGCGCAGCATCCTGGCCCTCAGCGAGCAGGCCGCGTTCTAGAACTACAGTTCCCAGAGTGCATTGCGTGTGTACTTCCTCCCCTGGGCACTGCGCATGCTCAGTTGGTTTTTGTAATTGTGAGTTTGTTGAAATGTTGTTTGGAATTTTGATGAGTGTTGTGCATACCTTGTGGGTTGAGGTATGTGCACGGCAAATTTGGTGAGTTTTCGTTGTGGGGTTTTCGCGTTTTGGTGTCCCGTTGAACACCCTTTCCATTTTTATATAGATAGATTATGTTTACATATTACTTGTAAGCTGCTCTGAGTCCCCTTCAGGGTGAGAAGGGCGGCATATAGATAATAAATAACTAAATTAGGAAATAATAACATTTATCACCCAGGTACAACAATCCTAGTCTTCCATACTGTCATCGTTATGGGTTTGTGGGCAAGGTTTTCTCCTCTGAAGCCATTTAGGGACCGCCCCCTTTGGGTGAGCGAAGCCCCGCCCAGGGGGCGTGCCACATGATAGGCCACGCCCCCACCCCATCTTCAAGTGCGGCTCACTTCCGCCTTTGAGGAAGCCCCGCTCAGAAAGAATACGTCATGCAGTAGGCTCCGCCCAGAGAGAGTGCGTCACGCAGTGGCCCCGCCCCCACTTCCGGCAAGATGGCGGCCCCCTGGAAGGGTGCGTGGTTCCGCTTTGGGTTCGGCTGGGAAGCATGGCAAGGCCCGGAGGCGACGCTGGAACCGCAGCCGCTGGGGCAGGAGGAAGAAGGGGCCGTGCTGCGCGTGAGGCCCGGGTGGAGCCTGGTGGCCCTTACCGCCGCGGAGGGTTCGGTGGAGCTGCGCGGATTCGGCGGCGGCGCCTCACTCCAGCTCCCGGGCGACTGCGTGGCGGCACTTCCGGGAGAGGGCCACGTGGTGTTGGCGCGCAAGGCGGCCCTGGAGGCGTGGGCGGTGAGGGGAGCCGGGAAGGGGCGCCGCCTGGAGCTGGACCCGCACTGGAGGAGGCCCCTCGCGCCCACAGAAGCCCTGGGCCTTGCCCGCCAGGAGAGACAAGGCGGTGAGAAGGGAGCGGAAGGGGCACCCCGAGGGCATCCAGCCCGGCCCCATCATACAATCAAAGAGTTGGAAGAGACCTCATGGGCCATCCAGTCCAACCCCATTCTGCCAAGAAGCAGGAATATTGCATTCAAAGCACCCCCGACAGATGGCCATCCAGCCTCTGTTTAAAAGCTTCCAAAGAAGGAGCCTCCACCACACACCGGGGCAGAGAGTTCCACTACTGAACGGCTCTCACAGTCAGGAAGTTCTTCCTCATGTTCAGATGGAATCTCCTTTCTTGTAGTTTGAAGCCATTGTTCCTGCGTCCTAGTCTCCAAGGAAGCAGAAAACAAGCTTGCTCCCTCCTCCCTGTGGCTTCCTTTCACATATTTATACATGGCTATCATATCTCCTCTCAGCCTTCTCTTCTTCAGGCTAAACATGCCCAGCTCCTTAAGCCGCTCTTCATAGGGCTTGTTCTCCAGACCCTTGATCATTTTAGTCGCTCTCCTCTGGACACATTCCAGCTTGTCAATATCTCTCTTGAATTGTGGTGCCCAGAATTGGACACAATATTCCAGATGTGGTCTAACCAAAGCAGAATAGAGGGGTAGCATTACTTCCCTAGATCTAGACACTATGCTCCTATTGATGCAGGTCAAAATCCCATTGGCTTTTTTTGCCGCCACATCACATTGTTGGCTCATGTTTAACTTGTTGTCCACGAGGACTCCAAGATCTTTTTCACACGTACTGCTCTCGAGCCACGCATTGTCCCCCATTCTGTATCTTTGCATTTTGTTTTTCCTGCCAAAGTGGAGTATCTTGCATTTGTCACTGTTGAACTTCAGAGCCCTCCCTCTCACCAGCCCCTGCTTTATTTGTCGTGTCAGGACAACCAGTCAAATTATATTACATTTCTAACAAAACAAAGCAAACAAACAGACAAAATACAAAATTTGTGAGTTTGGTAGTTGATTAAATGTCCTTTGACCAGTATCTGGCCACTTGGAGTGCCTCTGGTGTTGCTGCAAGAAGGTCCTCCATTGTGCATGTGGTGGGGCTCAGGTTGCATTGCAGCAGGTGGTCAGTGGTTTGCTCTTCTCCACACTCGCATGTCGAGGATTCCACTTTGTAGCCCATTTCTGAAGGTTGGCTCTGCATCTCGTGGTGCCAGAGCGCAGTCTGTTCAGCGCCTTCCAAGTCGCCCAGTCCTCTGTGTGCCCAGGGGGAGTCTCTCATTTGGTATCAGCCATTGGTTGAGGTGCTGGGTTTGAGCCTGCCACTTTTGGACTCTCGCTTGCTGAGGTGTTCCAGCGAGTGTCTCTGTAGATCTTAGAAAACTATTTCTAGATTTAAGTCGTTGACGTGCTGGCTGATACCCAAACAGGGGATGAGCTGGGGATGTCTCTGCCTTGGTACTTTCACTATTGGCTGCTACTTCCCGGCGGATGTCAGGTGGTGCAATCCGGCTAAGCAGTGTAATTTCTCCAGTGGTGTAGGGCGCAGACACCCCGTGATAATGCGGCATGTCTCATTAAGAGCCACATCCACTGTTTTAGTGTGGTGAGATGTGTTCCACACTGGGCATGCATACTCAGCAGCAGAGTAGCACAGCGCAAGGGCAGATGTCTTCACTGTGTCTGGTTGTGATCCCCAGGTTGTGCCAGTTAGCTTTCATATGATATTGTATCTAGCAACCACTTTTTGCTTGATATTCAGGCAGTGCTTCTTGTAGGTCAGAGCACGGTCCAGGAGTGACTCCCAGGTATTTGGGTGCGCTGCAATGCTCCAGTGGGATTCCTTCCCAGGTGATCTTCAAAGCTCGGGATGTTTCTCTGTTCTTGAGATGAAAGGCACAGAAGCGAAGAAGAAGCCCCTGCTGAAGAATAATAATAATACAATCCTACAGTGGGAAGGGATCCCCAAAGGTCATCCAGTCCAACCTCCTGCCTTCATGCAGGAAGAGCACCATTAAAGCCCTCCCAACAGATGGCCCTCCAGTCTAGCTCCCTCCTGGCAGGAAGGAAGGCACCATCAAAGCCCTCCCGACAAATCGCCGTCCAGCTTTTTTTTTTTTTTTGGTCGTGTCAGGAGCGACTTGAGAAACTGCAAGTCGCTTCTGGTGTGAGAGAATTGGCCGTCTGCAAGGACGTTGCCCAGGGGACATTGCCCGGATGATTTGATGCCCAGCTGCTGCTGCATCATGATAATAATAGGATCCCAGAGTTGGAAAAGGCCCCCAAAGGCCATCGAGTCTAGCTCCATTCTGCTGGGGAGGAAGGCACCATCAAAGCACTCCCTGCAGGTGGCCATCCAGCCCCTGAATAATAATAATAATAATAATAATAATAATAATAATAATAATAATAATGATGATGATGATGATGATGATGATGGGATCTTCATGCATTATTCGCCAATACATCACCCAGTCCTAGACACTTGGGAAGTGTCCGATGTGTGATCCAATTCAACAGCCAGCAGAGTGTCTGTTGTGGACACATCTTGTTGTGTTTCAAGTAATAATAAAAGTTGGAAGGGTCCCCCAAAGGCCATCCAGTCTAGCCTCCTTCTGCCAGAAAGTAAGGCACCATCAAAGCCTTCCCAACATGCCTATGCCTGCCTCCTGCTTAATAATAATAATAATAATAGGATCCTCAGAGTTGGAAGGGATCCCCAAAGGCCATCCAGTCCAACCTCCTTCCGCCAGGAAGGTAGGCACCATCAAAGCCCTCCCTGTAGATGGCAGTCCAGCCCCTGAATAATAATAATAATAATAGAAGTTGGAAGGGCTCCCCAAAGGCCATGCAGTCCAGCCCCTTTCTGCCAGAAAGGAAGACACCATCAAAGCCCTCCCAGCAGTTCTATGCCTGCCTCCTGCTTAATAATAATAATAGGATCCTCAGAGTTGGAAGGAATCCCCAGAGGCCATCCAGTGCAGCCTCCTCCTGCCTTCATGCAGGCAAAACACAGTCAAATCCCTCCCTGCAGATGGCCATCCAGCCCCTGAATACTACTACTACTACTACTAATAATAATAATAGGAACCTCAGAGTTGGAAGGGATCCCCAGAGGCCATGCAGTCCAGCCTTCTGCCTTCATGCAGGAAAAGCACCATCAAAGCTCTCACTTCAAATGGCTGTCCAGCCCCTGCTTAATAATAATAATCCTAGAGTTGAATAATCCGCCAGAAAGGAAGGTACTACCAAAGTCCTCCCGACAGATGGACATCCAATCCCTGCTTCAAGGCCTCCAGAGACTCCACTGGACCCATATTCTGGGGCTGAGCAGACCATAAGAATGCTTCCTGATCTTTAGACAGAATGTTTTTTCTCCCATTTAGACCCATGGCTCCATTGGGTCCCAGTCTCCGGAGCAGCAGAAATCAACCCTTGCCCCTTTCTCTTCAATATGAAAACCTTTTGAATATTCAGACCTGGCTCTGTGTTCCCTTCTCTCAGCCTCCATGTCTCCAAACTAAACGTCCCCAGCTCCCAAAGCCACTTCTTAGAGGGAGTAAATGAATATTATTAATATGTTTGTTTATGCCCCATTTTTTTCTCTCCACAAAGATACTGAAAGTTGCTTACATTAAAAGCTTTGCGATAAGGTTTAAAATCTACAAATATACAAACATTAAAATAGGGTTGAGTATTATTGATATTTAAAAAATCAGTTAAAATTTATCAAAACATATTCAGTCCCATTGGCCTCCTTTGCTGCTGCATCACAGTGTTGGTTCATGGTCAGCTTGGGGCCCACTAAAACCCCTTGATCCCTTCCATATGTAATAATGCCTTAGAGTCAAGTGTCACCCGCCTTACATTTTTTTCTTTCCCGAGGTGGGGTGGTGGTGGTGGTCTTCTCTTGCACTGTCCCTCCACCTCTCTCTCTGTCTCTTCACAGGTGGGCTGCCTCTGGTCCCCGGGGGCTTCGTGGTGCCACGACCACCCTTCTTCCACTCGCTTCCAGCCTCCCTTCGTGCTCGGCACCTGGTCTTGGGCCACGAACACGTGCTGCTCCTGGATGAGGCCGGGACCCTCTTCTCCTGGGGCAGCGGGAGGTGAGTAGCCGCACAGGAAGGAAGGAGAAGAGAGGAGGGAAGGAGGAAGGGAAGAAGGAAGGAAGGAAGGAAGGAAGGAAGGAAGGAAGGAAGGAAGGAAGGAAGGAGAGAAGGGATAAGAAAATGGAGGAAGGAGAGAAGGAAGAAAGGAGGGACACATACTGCCTCCTGCTGACCCCTGCTCTCGTCTGTGCATGGCAGGCATGGTCAGCTGGGCCACGGGGACCTGGAAAGCCGGCTGGAGCCCCAGGCGGTGGAGGCCCTTCAGGGAGTGGCCCTAAAGGAAGTGGCGGCCGGAGGCTGGCACTCAGCTGCCGTCAGTGGTAAGCAGACACTTTTCCAATGCTTGGGATGAGGGGTCCTTGCAGAGACTTCGGCGTGGCTGTCATGCCCCCTCTCTGACCCTTTGGGTGTCTCTTCCGACTTGTTTTGGCCTCTTCAGCAGCCGCATTGTTGTCCTCTTGGCTCACACTCAAGACTCCTCCTGGGTCCCTTTCTCGGGTGAGGGTCACCCTCCGGAGGCCTTGGCCTGAGGCAGCACTCCCCCAGGAGACGCCTAGGTCCCTTTCCTGTAGTCAAGCCAGAAGCCAGATGTCCATATTCTAAGCTCTGCCATCTTTAGGTTTCTATTATTATTAATTACCCTAGCCATCCCCTGCCACACATTGCTGTGGCCTAGTGTGTGTATATGTGTGTATATATATTTGTGTATATGTGTATATATGTGTGTTTGTGTGTATGTGGTTTTGCGTTAGTGTATTTTTATTTATTTTTTTGACTTTTTAAGTATCTTTTGCTGTGTTTTCAGTGTTTTTATGAGTGATTGCCACTCGTTGGCCTGATAGGTGTATTGTGTCCAAACTTGGTGTCAATTCATCCAATGGTTTTTGAGTTATGCTAATCCCACAAACTAACATTACATTTTTATTTATATAGACCAGTTACATGTACTTAACACTAGGTGGCAGCAAAGTGCAATGTAATGAAAAACTGACCATAGAAGCCTATGTGCTTGCAATATAAGATTGAACACTATGTGTCGCTAAAGGGCAATGCAATGAATAGCTAGACGCAGAAAACTATGAGCTTGCAATATAAAACAGAGCACTAGGTGGCACCAAAGAATTCTATTATCATTACTATTATTCCATGTATTATTATTATTATTATTAACTTTATTTGTACCCCACTAATATCTCCCGAAGGACTCGATGCGGCTTACAAAGGCCAAGGCCTCAATAAAAACAACAGCATAACAATACACATAACATTATAAAGCAAATCAAAACGTTAAGCAATAACAGTAAACAATAAAAGCAATACACCATAACACAATAAAACTACATAAAACTACATAACAACACCACAAAGCTGGTGGCGCAGCGGGTTAAACCACTGAACTTGCTGACCGAAAATTGGCGGTTCAAATCCTGGGAGCGGGGTGAGCTCCTGCTGTTAGCCCCTAGCAGTTCGAAAACATGCAAATGTGAGTAGATCAATAGGTACTGCTTCTGTGGGAAGGTAACCGCGCTCCATGCAATCCTACCGGCTACATGACCTTAGAGGTGTCTACAGACAACGCTGGCTCTTCAACTTACAAATGGAGATGAGCACCACCCCCCAGACATGATTAGACTTAATGTCAGGGGAAATCTTTACGTTTACTTATACTGCCATATAATCCAGTTCAAAGCAGATAATCTGGTGCTCCATGCAGCACTCTAGGCTGTCATGCTGGCCACATGGCTTAGAAATGGAGATGAGCACCCCCCCATCCCAGACACGGCTAGACTTAATGTCAGGGGAAACCATTACCTTTACATAACAACATAGCACACATGCACATTAGGTCCAAGTCTCTGGAGTTCATCTCTGAATATTGGGCTCTTCCCAAGGCTAGGATATTAGAGATGTTATTATTATTATTATTATTGTTATTGTCATTGTTATTATTCCTTGCCTGTCCCGTTTGCATTCATCCTAGTGACACCCCTCTCCCTTTGTTTCCTTCCCCAGAGGCAGGCGACTTGTACCTCTGGGGCTGGAATGAGTCTGGCCAGCTGGGTCTGCCCTCCAAGGCCGCGGCCGAGAGCCAAAGGGCTGCAAGGGACACAGATAGCACAGGTGAAAAGGGGGCGTAGATCCAGGCCAACCCCACTCCCCATAAGCCCTCTCTAAGGAGGTTCTCACAGTAACGGCAGGACTCTCTTCAGGGGATGCGCAGCCACGGGGCCCCCCCGGAGCAGACTTCATCTCCATCCAGGCCTTCCCGGCACTGCTGGACCTGCCCCAGGAAGCGGAGGCCCTGAAGGCCGGCTGCGGATCCAGGCACACAGCCGTCGTGACACGTAAGATGGGTCCTCCTCCTGCTCTTTGGACTTCTTTGCTGGCCATTCTTCCTCTGCCCCAGATTTTGCTCCAGTCACCTTTCAGAACCTTGGGCTGTTCCGTTTTCAGACTGTTTGGCCATGTTCTTGCAGCATTTTCTCCTGATATTTCGCCTGCATCTGTGGATGACATCTTCAGAGGTTCTGATGGTAATACCTGTGGAATGTCCAGGGTGGGAGAAAGAGGCAGTATTGGAAAACCCCAGAATCAAGAGAGTGACTAATTCACGCCACCCAGACACACAAGAGGTCTCTAGGAAGCAAGCAATCAAGAGCCAGTGAGCAACACCCAGGCTAAGGATGTCTCCAGGCAGCAAACAATTAATAGAATCCTAGAGCTGGAAGAGACCTCATGGGCCATCCAGTCCAACCCCCTGCCAAGAAGCAGGAATATTGCATTCAAAGCACCCCAGACAGATGGCCATCCAGCCTCTGTTTAAAAGCCTCCAAAGAAGGAGCCTCCACCACACTCTGGGGCAGAGAGTTCCACTGCTGAACAGCTCTCACAGTCAGGAAGTTCTTCCTAATGTTCAGATGGAATCTCCTTTCTTGTAGTTTGAAGCCATTACTCAGCATCCTAGTCTCCAGGACAGCAGAAAACAAGCTTGCTTCCTCCTCCCTATGACTTCCTCTCACATATTTATACATGGCTATCATGTCTCTTCTCAGCCTTCTCTTCTTCAGGCTAAACATGCCCAGCTCTTTAAGCCTCTCCTCATAGGGCTTGTTCTCCAGACCTTTGATCATATTAGCCGCCCTTCTGTGGACACATTCCAGTTTGTCAATTCAAAGGGAACCAAGGTTAGGCTACTTCTATAATAATAATAATGTCTCCAGGCAGCAAGCAATCAAGGGCCAATGAACACCACCCAGACTAAGGATATCTCCAGGCAGCAAACAATTCAAAGAGAAAAAGACCAGGCTACTTCTATGCAGATGCCCTCACTAATTGACTATGTCATCTTCATGTTCACATGGATCCCACTCAACACAAAAATCTAGCTTGCTAATTGCACCCTTTATTCCAGTCAGTGGTTCCTTCTCCCACCCTGGACATTCCCCAGATCTTTATACACCACTTTCACCAGATGCAGGTGAAACATCAGGAGAAAATGCTGCTAGAACACATTTGCCATACAGCCCAGAACACCCCAGTGATTCCGGTCATGAAAACTTTCAACTGTACATTTTCAGAGCTTTGCCTGATGATGTTGGCTTGTATCTCCCATGAGCAACTCAGCCCAGGCCCATTTCCCGCAAGAATAAGAGCCCAATGCAGGACGGAGAGATGCCCGTGTCCTCCCTTCTGCTTGACATTTCAGCTTGGGAGGCTTCAGCAGAGGGCTCGCCTGTAGTTCTGGGTATTCTGGCTGCAACAGATTTAAAATTTCTGGGAGAGAAATTCTGGGGCTTATTAAGGAAGTCTTCAAGGAAGCCCTTCCCTTCCCAAGATGGCCGTCTCTTTTGGGGTCAGTTGTGGCTGACTGCGGATGCTGGGCCCTCTCCTCACCTCTTTCTCCTCTGCCTTTCAGGGACAGGCGAGCTGTACACCTGGGGATGGGGTAAGTCAGTAGTTTTGAATTTAACTGAGTCTTTTAATACCAGTGTTATTTAAGGAGGCTGTCTAGACCTTGAACCGGTGCTTGGCTGCTGTGTCAGATTGGATGAGGGCTAACAATTTGAAATTGAATCCAGACAGGACAGAGGTCCTCCCGGTCAGTCGAAAGGCTGAACAGGGCATAGGGTTACAGCGCGTTTTGGATGGGGCTACACTCCCCCTAAAGACGCAGGTTTGCAGCTTGGGAGTGATCCTGGATTCATCGCTGAGCCTGCAACCCCAGGTTTTGGCGGTGGCCAGGGGAGCTTTTGCACAGTTAAAGCTTGTGTGCCAGCTGTGCCCGTACCTTGGGAAGTCGGATCTGGCCACGGTGGTCCACGCTCTGGTTACATCCCGAATAGATTACTGCAATGCGCTCTACGTAGGGCTGCCTTGGAAGACTGTTCGGAAGCTTCAGTTAGTTCAATGGGCGGCAGCCAGATTACTAACTGGGGTGCCATACAGGGAGCATACCCCCCCCCTTTGTGCCAGCTCCACTGGTTGCCGGTCCATCTCCGAGCCCAATTCAAAGTGCTGGTTTTGACCTATAAAGCTCTATATGGTTCTGGCCCAGCTTCCTTGTCCGAACTCATCCACCCCTCCGTCCCACCTCGTAATCTAAGATCATCTGGGGAGGCCCTGCTCTCGCTCCCATCAACTGCACACATGTGTCTGGCAGCGACGAGAGACAGGGCCTACTTGGCTGTGGCCCCCTGCCTATGGAACACACTACCAAATGAGGTAAGATCCGCTCCCTCCCTCCTGGCTTTTACACCACACAGTCCTAGACACTTGGGAAGTGTCCAACATATGATCCAATTCAACAGCCAGCAGAGTGTCTGCTGTGAACTCATCTTGTGTTTCAAATTATTATTATTATTATTTATTATGCTGATAGTAAACAACACAATTTTGGAAGCTGCTCTGAGTCCCCTTTTAGATGAGATAGTGGGGTAAAAATACAGTAAATAAATACATGTTTTAATGTTTACTTGTTTATAGATCTTAAAACTGCATTGGGGTAACAATAATAATAATAAGGGCCATCCCTCTCTGCAGGTCAGTATGGGCAGCTGGGCCATGGGGACACAGCCAGCTTGGACCAGCCGAGGAGAGTGGACCGCTTTGTGGAGTGGGGCCTTTCCGTGTTGGACGTCACCTGCGGGCCGTGGGCCACCTTCGTTCAGGTCAGGAGGCCAGAAGAGGACCAGGGGCTGTCCGGAGCACAGGCCGAGCACTGACTGCTCCAGGAGCTGCCTGGCCCAAGGACCCTGGATATCACTAGAGCAAAAAGGACCCATTTTTATTTACAGAGACATGAATACAGGAAACATAATATATATTTATTTATTTATATTTTTTTGATGAACAGAGCCATCTCAGTATATTTTTACGAAGAGCAAAATRGTGAAGGGAAAAACAGGAGTCGAATACTCATTCCTTGTAGGAAATCACTTCCTTTTTGGCCAGCAGGATGTTGGCAAAGAAGCAAGCTCCCCTGCCAAAGCAAATAAAAGGGGGGGGGGGGCTAAATTGCTATTTACAGCAGCAGCTAAACAAAAACTGGAACGTGCGTTTGCAGAAATAAATAATACAGGACTGTAGTGAAACCAAGGTGCAAATTTAGCCATGATAAATGGTTCCAGGACCCCCTTGACGCCCGCCTCCTTTTCCCCCCAAGAGAAAGAGGGAGGCTTTGTCTTCCTTGCCCTTTGCCAGCTTCCATTCCTAAGCAGCCTTTCCCTCCTCATCCAAGCAGGAGCCCTTTACCCTCCCCTTGTTTTGGCTGCTTCTAAGGTCAGCCTACCTTGGAAAGGGCCGATGCCTGGGAGGAGAAAGGTGATGGTCCCGGGGCTCACGCTCCCCTCGATCCCTATCTACTGCTGACTGGCAGGAAAGAGCTTGCCATGCAAGGGTATAGACTGCCCCCCATCCCCATTTTTTCCTCTTTAATTCTTTTTAAAATACAATTCTACAAAAAATGTTCATTTCATTCCATTAAAACAACAGTTAAAAGTGGCCCTGGCCCCACCATGGATGAAGCCCATGGCGAGAGAACCAGGGGTGGGCAGGTAACTCGCGCCCCATGAACCAGGAGGAGGCTGAGAAGCAGGCGGGCAAAAGGGGATCCCCTTCAGCTCTCCAGGTTCGAAGCTGTGGAGTTCAGGACGCGGGAGCCCAGCTCAGATTTGGAGGCCTTTGAAAGTCCGTGCTGCAGAAAGAGGAGAGAGGAGGGCCAGGTTGGGTTGGGGCAGCAACAAGCATTTATAACTTTATTGTTGGGACGACAACTTCCATCCCTTTTCATTACATTATGTGACTCAATTTGCGCTCCTGGGTTATAAATGTCATTTCCTAAGGTTCTATAATTTTAAAAACATAGAAAAAGTTTATTAAACTGTAAACACATCATTTTTGTAGAATAAACATCTTGCAGTGCATTTTGCTCTAAAATTTCCAATAAATATCTCATCGGGTTGCTGTAAGTTTTCTGGGATGTATGGCCATGTTCTAGAAGCATTCTCTAGGGAAGTCATGCTACCCCTCTATTCTGCTTTGGTTAGACCACACCTGGAATATTGTGTCCAATTCTGGGCACCACAATTGAAGAGAGATATTGACAAGCTGGAATGTGTCCGGAGAAGGGCGACTAAAATGTTCAAGGGTCTGGAGAACAAGCCCTATGAGGAGCGGCTTAAGGAGCTGGGCATGTTTAGCCTGAAGAAGAGAAGGCTGAGAGGAGATATGATAGCCATGTATAAATATGTGAAAGGAAGCCACAGGGAGGAGGGAGCAAGCTTGTTTTCTGCTTCCCTGGAGACTAGGACGCGAAACAAATGGCTTCAAACTACAAGAAAGGAGATTCCATCTGAACATTAGGAAGAACTTCCTGACTGTGAGAGCCGTTCAGCAGTGGAAATGAGAGGTTGCTTACCTGTAACCGTAGTTTCCCTAGTGATGTGCTGTGAATTCGCACTATTGGTACTTCTGCGCATGCGCAGCTTTGCTCCGGAATCTTCAGTTAAAATTTTAAAAGGACTGACGGTTGGCCCCGCGCACGCTCCCCAGTACATTATAAATAGGACGCGGCTGGTCCAACCGCCTCCAGATCTCTTCCGCCGCTAAAGCAGTCAGAAGGAGGAGGCATGACAAATTGCGGGGAGGATGGGCGGGGCCGTGCGAATTCACAGCACATCACTAGGGAAACTACGGTTACAGGTAAGCAACCTCTCATTTTCCCTACGTGAGTGTGCTGTGAATACGCACTATTGGTAGAAGACTAGCGAGCTACCCACCTTGGACGGCGGGAGTCATGCCACCGCAGAAAACAACACTGCACGACCAAAAGCAGCATCCTTCTTGGCCTGTAGATCCAACTTGTAGTGCGACACAAATGTCAACGGGGTGGACCAGGTGGCAGCGCGACATATGGCATCCAACGGCACACCCTTCCAAAAGGCAGCTGTTGTAGACACCGCCCTTGTAGAGTGTCCCTTCACACCGACCGGCAACTCACGTCCCGAGTTCTTGTAAGCTAACTTGATCACAGACACTATCCAAGAAGATAGGCGTTGAGTAGACACAGGGAGGCCACAGGCATCTTATCTGTATTTTACAAAAAGTCTTGGTGTTTTCCTCACACTTTTAGTCCTATTAAGATAAAAGGCCACTGCCCGACGCACGTCCAGCAAGTGGAGACCACGCTCCATAGGGGAAGTTGGTGACTGAAAAAAGGCTGGCAACACTATCTCTTGGGACATGTGGAAGGAAGACGTCACCTTGGGAAGAAAAGAAATGTCCGTGCGGAGCACGATCTTATCTTTGTGGAACCGGAGGTAAGGTTCATCCGATCTTAAGGCGCAAATCTCACTAACACGCCTGGCCGATGTTATCGCCACCAGAAAGGCAGTCTTCCAGGAGAGGTGCGATATATCACACGTGGCTAACGGCTCGTAAGGAGGACCTTGAAGGGATGAAAGTACAACCTCCAGGCTCCACGAAGGAACTATTGGTGTCACTGCTGGCTTAACATTACCGAACCCTTTAAGGAAAAGCTTAACCAAATATTCAGAAAAAAGGGATGGCAATCCCTCTTTCCTCCTATACCATGACATGGCTGCCAGGTAACATTTAAGTGATGATAGGGACAGTCCTGAACTAGACAAGGAGACTAAAAAATCCAAAATTGCCGAAATTGGGGCATTTACGGGGTCCAGATTTCTTCCTTTCATATACTGGGAGTAGCGTGTCCACTTGTACACATACGAGCGCTTTGTAGATGGTTTTTGCGCTGCGTCTAAAATGGCCCTAACTGGGGCAGACAATTTGTCGGAAGTTCCTAACTGCTTGGAACGATCCTCCAGGCAGTCAGCCTCAATGTATGGGCATCTGGGTAGAGCACCTTCCCGTTCTGCGATGTTAACAAATCTAACCTGTCTGGAAACCTCCTGTACCTCCCTTGGGAGATATCGAGGAGGGCTGCAAACCATGGCTGGCGAGGCCACCACGGCGACACCAGGATACAGTCCCCGTTGTCTCTCCGAATCTTTGAGATGACCTTCGGGAGCAGTGGGAATGGAGGAAACACATACAGGAATTCGTTGCTCCACTTGCGTAGAAACGCATCCCCCAGACACCCCCTGGTGAAGTCCGCCCTCCTGCGGGCACAATAAAGGGGACACTTTGCGTTTTCCTGTGACGCAAAAAGATCTATTGTTGGAAAACCCCAGATCTTGAAGATCGTATTGAGTTCCCTGTGATTGATAGACCACTCGTGGTTGGCCATGKGGGCCCTGCTCAAATTGTCCGCTAAGACATTCTCTTCCCCTGGGAGATGTACGGCCACTAAGTGTATCTCTCTGGCTATGCACCACTTCCAGATGCGCATTGTTAGGCGYGACAGAACCTGTGATCTCGTTCCCCCCTGTTTGTTTATGTAATACATTGTTGTAGTATTGTCCGTGACCACCTGYACTACCTTGCCCAACAATGCCATCTCGAAGGATTTYAGAGCCTTTTCTACGGCRAATAACTCCAGAACATTTATGTGATGTACAGATTCCTCTGATGTCCAGACACCTTGGGCAGTCAAACCCTCGTAATGTGCGCCCCATCCCTTCATGGAGGAATCCGTCGTGACCACGGCAGACGGATCTGGGCCCTGAAAGGGCATGCCTACAGTCACATTGTCCGGCTCTGTCCACCACAAAAGGGCACGCCGGACCTTCTCCGGAATGCAATACCGCACATGGGGGTTGTCCAGGCCAGGACGAAAAACGGACAGAAACCAATTTTGTATGGGCCTCAGCCGAAGCCGGGCGTAAGGCGTAACGGCAGTCGTAGATGCCATGTGCCCTAACAGGACCTGGATCCTTTTTGCTGACACTTTCCTCGAATCCAGGGCAGRCACAACCAAAGCCTTGAGGGACGAAAAWCGGTCCTCTGGCAGAAACGCCCTCTGATGGATTGAATCCAGGAGTGCTCCAATAAACTGGATCTTGCGGACAGGTACTAGATGTGATTTTTCCCTGTTTACCACGAGACCTAAAGACTGGAGAAGAGAAATAGTTAGGTCTATATGCAGTTGTAAGCGTTCTCGCGTATCTGCCACCAAGAGCCAGTCGTCTATGTATGGATACACCGTAACACCCCTAGTTCTAAGGTGAGCAGCGATTACCGCCATACATTTGGTGAAAACCCTGGGGGCCGTAGTAAGGCCGAAAGGCAGTACATTAAAACTGTAAGCCTTAACGCCYACCATAAAGGCGAGGTATTTCCTATGATGTTCYGCCATGGAAATATGAAAATATGCGTCCTTTAAGTCTATGGTTGCGAACCAACTRTCTTTATTTAGAAGAGAAAGGATCATAGGAAGAGAGACCATCCGAAATTTCTTAGCATCAATATACATGTTCACCCCTCTTAAATCTAAAATTGGACGCAAACCACCAGTTTTTTTTAGTCACTAAAAAGTAACGAGAAAAGAAACAGTTATCAATCATTGAACTATCAACRGGGGAGATGGCCCCTTTAGCCAAAAGGGTTTCAATTTCTTCCAGCAGTGCTGGAGACTCAGGTGTGGTTCTTATACATCCCAACGGGGGCAGCGAAACAAATTCTATCGAATAACCTTCCTCAACTATCTTGAGGACCCACCTATCAGTAGTTATCGCAGCCCAGGCCCCTGCAAAAGGCCGAAGTCTATCCTTATAACAAACATAACTGACTTGTGTAGTGGAGGCACTTACGCCATCCCTTGGGCTCCAGATAACATCAACAATGGAATCGTCAAAGACGACGTCTTGGGCCACCTGCGGCCTTAGCCTTAGATTGATATGGCTGATACCTTGGCTTTGTGTAATAATTTTGTTTCCTGCCAGTTTGAAATTTTGAGGAATTATTCCKATTGCCCTGACTAGAGTTATATCCACTGTAATTCGCCCTACGGCTAAAGGGCTGGGCTTGTTGCCACCKAGGCTTCTGAAAGTTACCTGGCTGCCATGGGTACGGATATTGGTATGGATATTTGGCAGCATGCAAAACCTCCCGGGATTGCTTTATCTTTTCATCCGTTGTTGGGTCAAAAAGACCTTCCTCAGTCATGGGAAGGTCTTCCGCCAACAAGCGGCTCTCCTCTGACAATGAAGAACTACGCAGCCACGCATGTCGCCGTATGGCCGTGGCAGTGGCAAAGAGCTTGCCCGATATCTCAGCCATATGCTTGGCGAAGTCCTTCTGCAGTCTAGATAGTATCAATGCCTCGGTCTGATACGCCTTCGGAAGACGACGGTCTTCAGGTGGCAGGAGGTTAATATGGGGCAGCATATTGTTCCAGAGAAAACTCTGGTATCCACTAAAATAAGTAGCGTAATGCGCCATCCTGGCAAGCAAACCCGCAGCCACATGTATTTTCTTCCCAAGTGAGTCAACCTTCTTGCCCTCCCTATCTGGTGGCGTTATGGAATATTTCTTAGGTCTCTTAGCCCTAGCTGCCTCCGCCACCACCGTATTCGGCTGTGCAGGATGGGCAATCCAACTTGCTAAAGTCAAGTCTACTTTGTAGAGAAGGTCGACCCTCCTTGGCACTGCGGGAGCAGCCGACGGGGCCACATCGGGGACCTTAGTCAGTTTCAACAAATAAGGAAGGGTTGGAAGCAGCAAGGATGGTGAACCGTCCTGTTCTTCAGAAGGGTACATAGGGTCATCCACTAATGAAACCGGCTTTGGGGCTGGAATGTCCAACGCAGTTATCATTCTGCTAACCAACTGAGCAAACATGTTGTAGTCCTCTATGCGCTTTGCGTTGGTATTTTTATCCTTGTCTACAATGGGTGAGTCCACTACTTCAATCGAAGAATCAGAGTCATCATCATCACCAGGAGGGCGGTCCTCAGCAATTGATGGGAGAGGTGTATAACCTTGATCCCAATAAGCACCGTGATAGTCATGGTGCACTGGGAGGAGTTCTCTACCTCGCACACTCTTCCCACTGTGTTTCCTGGGTCCATAGTCTGCATTACGATAAGCAGAACAGGCAGAGGGAGGACCGCGATAAACAAAACGCCCCTGGGGAGTTATCTCATATACTCCCGGGTGAGGAAGAGGACGTCCACCTTCGCTGTGCTCCTCCACATTAGCCCTAGTAGAGGATCTTGCTCTGCGTGCGCGCGCACGCCTGCGCTTTCTCGCAGAGCAGGAGGAATCCGAACAAGTTGTGGCTGAGGATGAAGAAGAGGAGTCACTCGAGCTCGACTCCTGGCGCCTCCGCTTCTTATTATTAGAGCGCGACGGTGCGCGCCCCCGGCGCCGAGTCAGGGCAGCAGCAACGGACATCCCCGACGTCGAGGGAAGCGTTGCTAGGGACGCGCTAGCCGGCTCCTCCCCAAGACCAACAGCTGACACAGTGGGAGGAGCCGGCGCCGAGAGCGTCGGCATCGGGGGAGTCATGTCTTCATTTTGCGCACGCGCGGGGCGTGTCTCCGACTCCAAGTCCCTTTCTGTTTCGTTTTCCTCCTGAGCCCGCGCGAGGCGTGCGGAGGTCGGCTCCGGTGCTGACCCAGCGGAACAGCCACGAGGAGGGGACTCTCTTGCCCCTTTAGGGGGCGAAACTAACAGCGAACGCGCGGCCTTGGAACCAGCCGTTTTCGCCGAGGCCGCCTTACTCTGAACGGCCTTTTTGGACTTCTGCTTTTTCAAGGCCGCATGCAGGATCGCCAACTCAGGTAAGACTTTCTCTCTATGTTGTTGAGGTTCAGGGAGAAGTGCCCGTTCATAAAGGGCAGCTTTCAGACGAATCTCCCGGTTTTTCCGTGTCTTCGGGGTGAAGGACTGGCAGATTGAACATGCCTGCGACAAGTGTCCTTCACCCAGGCAAGCAATGCACAGAGAATGTGCATCATTATCAGGGAAGTTGCTCTGGCAGGAAGAGCAACGCTTAAAACCTTTAGTATTTGCCATTTCGTTGAATAGTTTAGAAAGAAGACTTCCGAGCTACTGCTGTTAGCGCGGATGACTTCAAACTACAAGAAAGGAGATTCCATCTGAACATTAGGAAGAACTTCCTGACTGTGAGAGCCGTTCAGCAGTGGAACTCTCTGCCCCGGAGTGTGGTGGAGGCTCCTTCTTTGGAGGCTTTTAAACAGAGGCTGGATGGCCATCTGTCAGGGCTGATTTGAATGCAATATTCCTGCTTCTTGGCAGGGGGTTGGACTGGATGGCCCATGAGGTCTCTTCCAACTCTTTGATTCTATGATTCTCCTGATGTTTCGCTCACATCTATGGTAGGATTCCCCCCAGGCAAGAAGCAGCCAAGCCTTGAAGCTGCAAGGCTATTCAATGCTAATCAAGGTGATCAATTGCCACATTCGCACTTGCCTCAAACAGACAGTTATTTCAACAGAAAGGAAAAAACCATGAACATGAAAAAAAATAATAATATGGCTACCAGTATTTAAAAACTCTAAAAGTAAATAAAGTGCAACACTCAAAAAACAGGAGAATTCCAGGCAAGAATCGGTCAGGGCCAGCTAACACCTCTCAACAAAGGATCCCCCAGGCAGCAACCAGCCAGGCTTTGAAGCTGCAAGGCCATCCAGTGCTAATTAAGGTGGCCAATTACAGCATTCACACTTGTCTCCAACAGACAAAGAGTTCTTTCTCCCACCTTGGACATTACTCCACAGATATATAAACCTCACTTGCCTGGTTTCCAACAGATCTCACAACCTCTGAGGATGACTGCCACAGATGTGGGCGAATTGTCAGGAGAGAATGCTTCTGGAACATGGTCATACAGCCCAGAAAACTCACAGCAACTTAGTGATTCTGGCCATGAAAGCCTTCGACAGCAAATATCTCATCGTCAAGTCTCAACCAATTCAACCTAGTTTCTGGCAGCCACAAAACCAACAAGGTTTCTGGAGTAGAACAACTACTTTCAAAGTAAGTACCTTACAATTAAACAGGAAAGAACACTTTCAAACCAGGGACATTTCCCCCCAAATTTTGTTACATAGCGTTTATCCATGGTGGACGGGATGATGGGAATTGCAGCCCTTGCGGCTCTACGGTTGAGCAAAGATTAAAGGTCATTTTAGAGTCGGGCATCCTCGCCACAAGCCTTGCATTTACAATCAAACCCCACTCCTGACTCAACCAAGAAATGGCAGCCTTCCAGATGTCACTGTATTCAAGTTTGCACCAGCCTCAGTCATGATGTCTAATAATGAGAAATGTGAGAAATGCAGGAATTGGGAGTGCAACATCTGGAGAATGGCCACATACAATGACAAGGAGGTCTTGCCTTTCACACAAGTGCCTTCTTAGAGCAGTGATTTTCAACCTGTGGGTCCCCAGATGTTTTGGCCTTCAACTCCCAGAAATCTTAGCAGCTGTTAAACTGGCGGATCTCTGGGAGTTGTAGGCCAAAACATTTGGGGTCCCACAGGTTGAGAACCACTATGCTAGAGGCTTAGGTGCTGTTTTTCCCCCCAAGCAGCAGCTGGGGAGACAGGGAGAGAAGAGGGGGGATTACCGCAAACTCGGAATAGGTGCTGGTGACAGAATTTGCTCTGTTGGTGAGCTGGAGTGAGGGCGCGGGGAAGCACCCACCGCTCAGCGCTGTCCCGTTGAGCTGGGAGATGTTCTCCTTGTTCTCC